GTCTCATTTTCTTTTAAAAAATACATTTTTTCCTAATTACAAAAGTAACATATATTTGTTGCATATAATACCTTTACCTGTATATAGTCACAGATAAATTTAAAACTACCAATGATTTTATTCTTTAGGGATAACTGCTATTAACATTTGGGAGCCTATCAGTTGTGTGTTTGTGTGTGTGTGTGTGTGTGTGTGTGTGTGTGTGTGTGTGTGTTCATGATAAGTGGGTTTTGAATGGAATTTGTGCATAAAATGGGATCCTACTCACTCATGCTTTCCTTTAGATTTTGTTTAGATTTACATGTTATTTGAATTAAAAATGTAGCATATCCTTTATGTAACAAATTCAAACAATACAATAAACAGGAAGTCTCAGCTGACTCCAACCATATCTGACTTTCCAGAGAGAAACAGTGTTAACTGTTGTCTCTGCCTTTCAAAATAGATAGCCCTTTCCACTACTCCACCGCTAACCAAGACCCTGTCATTCTCATTAGGACTATTGCAGTAGCCTTCTGGTCTTCTTGCTTCTGTTCTTTACTCCTTTATGATGGATTTCAACACAGCAGCCATACTAATCCTGTTAAAACATGCCAGATTATTTCACTTCTTTGCCCAGAATCCTTCAATAGCTTCCCTTTGCACTCAGAATAAAAGCCAAAGAAAGGCCTGCAAGAGCCCATGTGAATTGGCTTAATACTTTTTTGCTCTCGTCTCCTACAAGTCCTCTGGTCACATTGGTTTCCATTAGATTAGGTAAGTTATGATGTGGGGGGTGGGGGGTGGGGAGTGTGGCGGGGAGGAAGCCACAGAAACAAAACACCAACCCCACAAAAACAAACATAAAACTCCACTTCAAAATTACTATTAAAATAACAAAATGGTTTTTTTTTTCTTCCTCACACTGCATCTCCTAGGAGATTTGACTAGAGGCTCTGGTCTCCACCCTTTACATCTCAGGACCCAGTGTGACTAGACTCCCATTGAGAGCTCTTACCTTCCTGATGATGGAGGTGGAAGACCCAGGGCAGGTTAGGGTTAGGATGGTCCCCAGGGAAAGTTTGCTCTTGACCCTGCTGGGAAAGGGATGGGCATACTTGTGGTGTGTGGTCCTTTTGCTTCTACATGTTGTTGGAGCTGAAGGCTTCTGAAATTTCCTTTGAGTGCACTTAGAAACCCAAAACCCCAGCACCATGTCAGGGTATAAGGACATGCATTCAAAAACTCATTGTTCTGAGGAGGCAAATATTTCTGCACAGTAGTGAATAAATTATGTTGTATTCACACACAGAATGTTATGTAGTCAATAAAAAAACAACTAGAACTATATCATATGGTATCAGAAGACGACTAGGTTTGGGTAGAAAGCAAGTGATGTAATATACAGATAATGTACTATACAATTGTACACATGAAACCTTTATAATGCTATGAACCAATGTTACATCAATAAATTTTAATTTTAAAAAGGAATATCAGCTGACTGGTATAAGAAAAGCAAGATTCAGAAAGGAGTATAAAGTATGTACAATATAATTCAATGTAAATAAAACAATCACAAATCAAACCACGGCATACAGTATAGAAGAATACATATGCCTACTCTGTGGGCTCAGCCCAGGGTGAATCTAATCTAAGGCTGTCTGGAGAAGTCCAACCCAGGTCAGCTCATAAAGATCAGAGAGTGAGCCTCCATGTTTCCCAACCTGGGTTCCAATGTATAAATATTTACGGATGGAACAGACATATGACTAGGTGATTTAATACTTACACCAACCTGAGCAGGGTCAGCTTGAGAAGCAGCAGGCCTGAAGTCCCACAGAAATTCTCAATTAATTTAAATACGTCGCAAACTCTCTCCTTTTGGGTTCCCCTTTTTGACCCCACTCATTCTTTCCTCCAAACAGTTGTACAATTTCCGCTTCCATGTCTGCTTCTATGCACAAATTACTGCATTCTCCTTTCTGTTTCACCATGTCAGTGCAGTAGACGAGCTGTTGCTTATCCAGATTCATTCTGCTGGGGTTTCTGTAGAACTCCTTTTATAATATTCTCAGTGATAATAGGCTTTTGTCCCTAAATTTGTACAAATCCAGATTATGCTGCTGTGACCAGTATTAAGGAAATAATCAATGTTTAAAACATTCATATTGATTTTGAGCAGTCATCTTTTTTCTTATTCTTTTCTTTTGTTTTATTTATTAATTTACTTATTAATTTCAGTGCAAGCTTCTTTGTTCCTCCTAATTTTTAAGTGGAATTGATTTTTACTTTAAATTTTACCCTTCTTTGCATGAATAAAGTTTGGTGAAAAAGGTATTATAGATGAGGGAGAAAAACTGAAAAGCTAAACAAAAAAGGAAAACAACCCAAAATGTTGGATATAATTACATTTATATAAAACTAGAGGCCCGGTGCACAAAAATTTGTGCACTCAGGAGGGTCCCTCAGCCTGGCCTGTGCCCTCTTGCAGTCTGGGACTCCTCAGGAAATGACCACCTGCAGGCTTAGGCCCGCTCCCCAGGGGATTGGGCCTAAGCTGGCAGTCAGACATCCCTCTGGCAGCCTGGGAGCCCTCAGGGGATGTCCACTTGCCAGCAGGGAGCAGGCCTAGCTGCAGTCGGACATCCTTAGCGCTGCTGAGGAGGCGGGAGAGGCTCCTACCACCACTGCTGTATTGGCAGCCATCAGCCTGGCTTGTGGCTGAGCAGAGCTCCCCTGTAGGAGCACACTGACACCAGGGAGCAGCTCCTGAATTAAGCGTTTGCCCCCTGGTGGTCAGTGTGTGTCATAGTGACCCAGTGATTCCCAGTCGTTCTGCTGTTAGGGTCAATTTGCATATTACCCTTTTATTATATAGGATAGAGGCCTGGTGCATGGGTGGGGGCCAGCTGGTTTGCCCTGAAGGGTGTCCCAGATCAGGGTGGGGGTCCCGCTGGGGTGCCTGGCCAGCCTGGGTGAGGGGATGAGGGCTGTTTGCAGGCTGGCCACAGCCCCTTCAGGGAGGGGGTCCCCACTGGGGTGCCTGGCCAGCCTGGGTGAGGGGCTGATGGCTGTTTGCAGGCTGGCCAAGCCCCTTCAGGGTAGGGGTCCCCGCTGGGGTGCCTTGCCAGTCTGGGTGAAGGGCTGATGGCTGTTTGCAGGCTGGCCACAGCCCCCAGCCACCCAAGCTCCCAGTGGAGGCTGGCTGGAAGCAGGGATCTGGCATTTATTTAGCTTCTATAATTGAAACTTTGTTGCCTTTTGAGGAGGCCACAGCCGGCCAGAGCAGGTGGGAAGCTTGGCTTCCTCCATTGCCAGGGCAACCAAGCCTTCTGCTTGCTCCAACTCCATGGCTTCCGGCTGCCATCTTGGTTGGGTTAATTTGCATATAGTCGCTCTGATTGGCTGGTGGATGTGGCTTGGGCGTAGCGAAGGTATGCTCAATTAGCATCTTTGTCTTTTATTAGTGTAGATTATATATGTGGGTATGTGTGAAAATTCTTCAACATTAAAGATAACTGGTTTTTAAAAACCAAAAGACTGCCTCACAAGCTTTTCTTTTTACTTCTTTGTATCCCATTTTCTGTGGTAACTATTTTTTAAACAAATATGTTTTCATTGATTTCAGAAGGAGGAAGGGAGAAGGAGAGAGAGAAAGAAACATCAATGATGAGAGAGAATAATTGATCAGCTGCCTACTGCATGAGCCCTACCAAATGCAATATACTTATATATTTTAGTCATGTGCAACCTGGGCATGTGCCCTGACCAGGAATCAAACCATGACCTCCTGGTTCATGGGTTGATGCTCAACCACTGAGCAACACTGGGCTGGGCTGCTATGATAATTCTTAAGAAAAACATGTATTAGGAAATGTTTCTGCAAAATTTCTGTATTGAAGAATGGCAGGGGATAAACACCAGAAAGGAGTGTTATTATGAGCTAAGTTTCTGTTTATTAATCAACAGGTGAATAAATTGCAAAAGGCAGTAAGAGAGATAACTCGTGCTATCCACCTTCAGCCAGATCAAATCGAATTATATATAATAAGGTATTGGCATAGAAATCAAATTCTTCAAGTCCTCTCTTGATCCTACCAGTGTCCTTTTACATTTAATCTTTCAGTGGTGGCCAAGACCCAACTACCAAGTCAGATATAGTTATTGGTTTTGTTAAGCTTGAACTAATTTATAATATAAGATAACCAGATCTTTCCCTTTGCTCTATCCTTACATCAAAACACAACAGTTTCATGTTTTAAATTATGTTAGGCCTCTCCACATTACTTGTTATGTAATTATTACAGGGCTCATGAAAGTAGGATAATATTTTGAACAATTATTTGATTGTGTCCACAGAGGTACCAAATGTGAACCTCAGCTAATTCAGTGGGGGGAAAAGTGACACATTGAATTGTATTTCAAATGTCATAGAGTTTTCTATAAAGAGACTCATTGAACATTGTGAGTTATCACCCCCCCAAAATGTTATTGTCTCTAACTCAGGAAATGGACATATAGATACAGGAAAATGGACTAGAACAATGCTTTCTGATAAGGGCTTGCTTTGTTTTTAAACCCTTGAACCACATTTTAACAATTTATGTAATACTTTTCCACTTTTCTGTACCTTGAACTGTGTTTATTTTTTTTATTAATTTTTTAGCAACAGAGTTTAACATTTTAAATACAGTAATTGCAAAAAGATTTGAGGTTTTTCTTCTTTCAGCTTCATATTTCCTAAATTGCTTTCTCATCACATCTCCAAACTAATTGGTTCATTTAGACAACATAAAATGTTTATAATTTTCACAATGTTTTTATCATACATATTTAAGTATACATAAATGTATTATAATTAATCTAATTACAAGTAACTCGTTCTAATAAACTTTGTTGTGGAAAAATTTTTTTTAACTGCTTAGAATTAAAAAGGCATTATTTCTTCCAGAGGACAATATCTTCTTAGGATGAAATGTTATGATCTTGCAAAGTTCACTATTTACCAAGTAGCAGAAATGAACAAAGGTAAATATAATTAATGCAAAATTATAATTGCCTTAACATAAAAGTTTTAAATGGTTCTTTAAAATTTTTATGGTATTTGCAAAAGCTATGCATAGATAGCTTGAAGGGTTCACTTGAAAATCGAAGTTAGATTTTTGAATCTTTAAAAGTTCCATTTCATTTGTACATAATCAATTAGTAAAATGCTTCAAAACAGTGAATTTTGTGAGAGAGGTTATTATAGGAAATACCAGGCTTACACTTTTAATTTTTGTGTGTGTGTGTTAGAATGTCTTATTGTTTGTTGATAGTAAATAGATTTTAGTATCATATTGATTTGTTAACTCACATTAAAATATAGATCATTGATTAAAATATTACATGTATTCTAAATCCTAGATACTTGGCAAAGGTATTGATAAGCTTTCCTTTTATTTTAGGTCTCATTGAGATGAGTCCTATACAGCAAGCTCTCATTTATTCATTTTGTGAAAACCATGACAAGGCCATTCAGGTGTTGGATGGGGCCACTTTGAATAAGCCTGAGATCAACATAATTATTCTATTAGCAAAAACCCAAATGAAGGCCAAGAGAACCAAGGTACAAAGTCTTGAGTAAGCTTACTAAGTCTATTAATGGAATTTTAATATTTTGCTTAGAATGACTGCTTGCATATCTTTTTATAAAACTAAATTATATCATTTATTTATTGATTCTTTTGTTAATTAACATTCAGGTTGTTTCTTTTTATTATTTTTCCCCCTCTTAAGAGTAGGGCTGCCCTAACCGGTTTGGCTCAGTGTATAGAGCACAGGCCCAAGGACTGAAGGGTCCCTGGTTTGATTCCAGTCAAGGGCACGCATATGTGGTTCCTGGCTCTTATAGGGCCCTGGTTGAGGCACCTGCAGGAGGCAACCAATAGCTGTGTCTCTCATATCAATGTTTCTGTCTCTCCTCCTCCCGTCCACTCTCTCTAAAAATCAATAGAAAAATATCCTTGGTGAGGATTAACAGCAACAATAAAAAAGTAGGGTTACTAAAAATATTCTTTTTCCTGTCTTCTGTTAACACGTGGAATAGTTTCCCAGGATTTCCCAGGAGTGGAGTTGTTGGTGTGTAGAGAATGTGAATGCCTAACTTTCAAGCTAATCATACATTGTTCCATAGGATTGTATCAATTTATTCTCCCACCTGCAGTATGAACGTCCTGCTAATCTGTATCTTCTACAATAATTGGTGTTGTCATGTTTTATTTTTGTCAGTTTGGAGGAGAAAGACCACTCCTTGTGGTCTTAATTCACATTCCTTAGTTTGAGCACAGATTTAACTTCTTTATATATGTTCATTAGGCACTCATATTTCCTAGTCTATCAATTTCCTACATACAATTTTTATCTTTTTCTTATCAATTTTAGGCATTTTAAAACTAAATTCTTTTATTAATTCTTGGTTGGCTATATGTTTGATACATATCTTCTTGCAATTTGTGGCTGTCTTATTTATTTATTTATTTATTTCATCATCCCTTTTGGCGAAAAGTTCTTAATTTTAATGTGGTTGAATATATCTATGTTTTATTTTGTTGTCATGACTTTTAAAAAAGTTGTTTAGGAATTTCTTCCCTACTCCAAGGTCATAAAGATAGTCCTATATTTCCTTCTAAAAGTTTATAAGTTTTACTTTTTCCATTTAAGACTTTACCTTAAATATATATTTTGAGTAGGAGACGGGATAAAATTTCATTTTTACCATATAGATATTTGTGTATCATTATCATTTATTGAAATGTTCTCCTTAACCCAAAGATCCAAAGTACAACATCTATCATATTACGTTTTTATATATGCATGGATCTGATTTTGATATCTCTATCTCTATTTTGTTCCTTGGGTCAATTTTTCAATTACTGGCCCAAGAGTATGATGTCTTAATCACTATAGCTTTATTGTAATTCCTGATATCTGGTAGAACAGGTGCCTACACAGTGTTCTCCAGGCAATTTCTGGTTATTATTGGGCCTTTACTTCTTCATATACATTTTAAATTCAGCTTGTCAAGATCCATTAAAAATTCCTTTGGAATTCTGATTGAATTTTATTGAATCTCTAGAATATTTTAGGGAGAGGTGACACCTTTATGATATTGATTCCTTTCAGAAATGCTACTATATTAACTTTAATCTCCCCTCATGCCCTCATTGCTCTGCTAGAAAACTGGGGTAACCTTTGATTGCTTCAGTGGATAGAGCATATGCTATCAATAGTGATGTTCTCTTGGTTCTGTATTCTAAATATCTCTCAACTCTACTTCCTCTCTTGATTTTTATGGTCATCACTCTAGTCAGAACATATTTATTTTATTTTATTTACTTTTATTTTATTTATTAAATTGATTGGGATGATATTGGTCAACATGAACATATAGGTTTCATGTGTGGGTTTCTATGTTAGAAGATTGGTATACTGCACCTTGTGCCCACCAACCAAAGTCAAATCTTCTGTCACCTTATATTAGGACCCCCTTCACTCCCCACCCCTTCCCTCTGACAACCACGACACTGCTGTTTGTGTTCATAAGTTTCAGTTTTATATCCCACATATGAATGAAATTATATGGTTCTTAGCTTTTTCTGAGTGACTTATTTCACTTAGTATAATGTTCTCAAGGTCCATCCATGTTGTTGCAAATGATGCTATTTAATCCTTTCTTATGGCTGAGTAGTATTCCATTGTGTATATGAACCACATCTTCTTTATCCAGTCCTCTATCGTGGGACACTTTGATTGTTTCCATGTCTCGGCCACCATGAATAATGCTGTGATGAACATGGGGGTGCATATATCTTTGTGAATACATGATTTTGACTTTTTCAATATATACACAAGAGTGGGATTGCTGGGTCATATGGTAGCTCTGTTCTTAATTTTTTGAGGAATCGCCAGACCCCTTTCCATAGTGGTTGTACCAGTCTGCATTCCCACCAGCAGCGAATGAGGGTTCCCTTTTTTCCACAACCTCTCCAACACTGTTATTGCTTGTCTTGTTGATAATGGCCACTCTAACAGGTGTGAGGTGGTATCTCATTGTAGTTTTAATTTATTTGCATTTCCCTAATTGCCAGTGAGGTTGAGCATCTTTTCATATATCTATTGGCTGTTCATATGTCTTCTTAAGAGAAGTGTATTTTCATGTCCTCTGCCTACTTTTTGATTGGGTTATTTGGTGATGAGTTTTATGAGTTCTTTATATATTTTGGAAATTAAACCTTTGTCGGAGGTACTATTTGCAGATATCAACTCCCATCTGGTTGGCTGCCTCTTTGTTTTGTCAGTTTCTCTTGCTGTGCAGAATCTTTTAGTTTGATATAGTCCCATTCATTTATTTTTTCCTGGTTCTGATATCACTAGTTCTTTCCTCTAACTGTTTGGTTCTGTTTTCTATGCTCAACAGTTTACTCTTAATCTCTTTAGTTGCATGCTTCATTTCCAGGATTTCTGAATGATTCTTTTTTAAAGTTTCATTTTCCTTGGTGAAATACTCATTTTGTTTATTGATTTGTTTTCTGAGTGTACTGAATTGCCTGTCAGTATTTTCTTATACCTCTTAGAGTATTTTCAGAACTGCAGTCTTGAAATCTGGACTTAGGGAATTATGTCAAGTGTGCTTTCTGAGGGTTTTTTTATTTTCTTTATGTCACATAATTCCATGTGTTCAATTGTGCTTTCTGGGGATTTTTTATTTTCTTTCTGGTCATCGTCATTACTGTGGTTCTTCATTTATTTGCTGTCCTCCTTTGTTTTTGCATTTATCTCTAAAGAGGTCTTTCTACTATTCTAGTAGATGGCACTGAATTGCAAGATTTTTATCTCTGTGCTCTCCCAGATTTGAGCCTTGGAGGCTTCCATAGGACAGTATCCACAGCTGCTTGGGAGTGGGGTTTGTTTTGCCCACCCCTGACCTCCATGGGTCCTGCCCCAATCACCCCCCCCCCCACCCCCGGAGATCAGTCACAGAGGGAAACAGCAATTCTACTGCAACAGTTCTCAGGTTACAGATAATATGCTCCTGGAGCCAATTCCAAGGACAATGGGAGGTGAGTTTTGGGAGTCTGTTCACTTTGTGATCACTGTTCACTTGCACTGCTCATGGGTATGACTTGGATACTGTTCTCTGGCCTCTTGAAGTTTGAAGTTCACCTGCTGGGGTGCCCTTCTGCAGCTCTCTGTTCCTCCTGCTGAAGGAAGTGCCTGCTACCACCAGCTTTCTCCCCTGAGCTTCTGGCTGCAGGGCCGCATCTGCGGACCGTCTATGCTTTCTTCCCTTCTAGTTTCCCCATTTATCCCCCAATGCCCAGCTTTAGGTGTTATTTTGCTTGAATTATAACAACAGTGTTGCACCCTTCCAAGTGTTCATCTACACAGCAGCTGTAGTGCTGTTTTCAGAATGTAAATAAATATGCCTTACCTGCAAGCCCCTAAGAGGTATTGAAAAGACTTTTCAGAGCAGTGAGAGAGAGGTGGACATCAGCTAGAGGAGGAAGCAGGAGGAAGTGAAGATGTATTCTTTTACATTTAAATGAGAGGAAAGACTTTATGGACTCATGGGGACAGTGAAGGGGCAGAGATCCAAAAGAGGAAGGACATTACAGGTTGTACTCAGGTCAGGCAATGGGGTGTAGGGCACAGCTTGAGTTAGCTCTGAAAAGATGAAGAAAGGAAACCATTCGAAGACAGGAGAGAAAGAGATGGAAACGGAGGAAGGAATAGATACATGAAAAGTTAAAAGGAAGGAAATTGAGGTGATGATTTTTCTTATGTCCAGGTCAAATGTTGAGGGTGGGGATGGAAAGATGGATGCTGCGGTGGGATATAAACATGTGGAGAAAATGCTAAATTTTTTAAATCGACACTTAGCATATCCAAGTTAAATCTCACTGTTTCTTTTGCAATGTAATAGAATTAAGAAAATGGGCTAAAGGGTCACAGGATTTTTGGTTTCTAAGATGTACTTCAGTTAGCTAATTTTGAAAAGGCATTTCTATCTGAAAATGTGAATTTTTCTCATTAATGCCTTTCAAGTATTTTGATTAAATAGTTTAAATGGGTGATTTTTGATGTTAGTTTATTTTCTGGTGTCAGTGGAACTCTATTAACAGCACAGCAGGACAAAACAAAGGCTGAGTAAAACCACGTCAGATATTATCATTGGAGATTTTCTACTCCCTAAAAGCTGCCCAGTATTCCTTTCAGGAAAATTATAGGAAATTGGTCATAAACTAGTCTACAGGTTTAAATATAATTTAAGACTACAAGAAAATAATCCTTAGAATTTAGAAAGTGTAGTTCCAAAAGTCCTCATGGATCGCCTGCTTAAGCACTGGCTCTAGGATAGGCACCTCATGGGATGTGCTGCGATCAGAGAGGCAATGGTCTTCTCACGGTGTATGGACAAGATCTGTACGTGAGCAGGGCTATGTGCTCAGGACTCCTTTTAACGTTTAAGGTTGTCATGTTAAGTAAACAGCAGGAAGAAACGTTCTCAGCCCCCTCTCTCTTTACCCTGTAGGAGGCTGTGAAGCTGTTTAAAAAGGCGTTGGATGTCTGTTCTCATTCTGAGAGAGGACCCCATGCCTTAGAGGCGACAGTGGACTGTCTGTATAACTTGGGTCTTTGTTACATGGATGAAGGCAATTTGCAAACGGTATTTTGTATATTTAGCAACTTAGGTTACTTGTGATTTTAGAAAATGCTTGCATTTAGTTCTATTTCAGAAGGTTACTTCTACAGGAAGTAACCAATACAGTAGACCAATGCTTCTTATAAGGTGTGGCTTGTTACAGACAATATGTATCCTACAATACTACTGCAGTTTTATTTACCCAACATGTTTTATTTGATGCTTATTTGTCAATAGTATTGTAAAGACTAATGTATGTTTTTCACCAAAACAACCTAACTGTAAGAAATTATTATAGCAAAATAATTTCATTACATTAATATAAATTTACCTATTAAATTTAAGTACTTTAAACTGGGTGATTCATTCTAATGTAGAATAAGTGGAAAATGATTAGCACACTGATTTCTCTTAATGATGACTAAAAATTCAAAGATTGAAACTGGTTATTTAAATAGCCAGATTATCCTTGAAAACCAGTTGAGTCAATATTTACATACTTATTCAATATTTGGCTATTTTACAGAAGCCCCCATTTCAAAATTGTCCAATATGTAAAATTATTGTTATTTTCTAATGGCTAATGTTGAATATTTCACAACTGTATCTTCATACACACACACCATTCCTATCCTTATGTTCAGAGGAGTGGACGGTGTCTAAAACTTGCATCTCAAACCTCGAAACAGAGTTGCACTTGATTAGTTGTTCCATTAAGAAATTCTAATAAGTATAAGATTGATTACAAATCTTTTCCATGTTTTTAACCCTTTTGTTCAACCAGCATTAAAACTAACTTTGCTCTACAATGTTGGGGAAAATTTTGGGGTTCTATCATTCTGAAATTTCATAGCTATGCATCTGCTATGAAATGTTTGGGCCCCCTGGAAGACAAATGTGCTGGTTGTGATTTCTTTGAAGGAACACAATATGAAGAATAATGATTAAAATTACACGCAAAATTACTGAAATCTAACAACTTGGACTGTACAGACATTAATCTGGGAATAAGGGGCTAGGAAGTTATAATACTAAACCTGACTTGTTAATGCATATTACTTTTGTTTGCTCCACAAGTTTCACTGGGGAAAATGTATTTAAAATGACCAGAAAAGATGGAAAACTTTCAACAACAGCTATATATTGTAATTTATTAGCATTGTAAATTAATAAATTCTGCTCATTAAACCATTTGCTTTGTAACAATATACTCTTCTAGGCTTTTGAGTCTTTTACCAAAGCTGTGAAATTAAATCCCAATTTTGCAGAAGGCTTCCATCAACGAGGGCTTTGTAAAGTAAAACTCCACAAGGATAGCTCAATCCTGGATTTTAATCGTGCAATTACCCTCAATCCAAATCATTATGAGGTATTTAAATGAACACTTCTGGTGATTTAGAGATTATGTTATAGATTTGCTAAAACTATTAAATCCTTCATATGTCATTGTTATTAGTTAGCAACAATTGATTACTTATACCTACTTTTCATATAATTGTTTTAATAATGCATATATCTGTATTTCTCTTTGAACTGAAAATATTATCTCCAACAGGAATATTATATATGTGTTTTATAAATTGTGATGTACATACATATTGTTAATATTTTAACGTATCTATTTTACATTTTTATATACTATGTTATTAATTTTATTTACTCTTGTTTTGCTGTCACATTTATTTCTTACTTTTAAGAGACTAAAGAGATAACACAAATTCAATAGGTGAAGTTTTATTGAATCCTGATTTTTAAAGTCTATAAATTTTAAATATGGATCAAATATTAGATGTTTTTAGGGAAATACTATGTTCTTAGATATATTATGATAGTGTGATTGTACAAAAAGAATGTCTTCTTCATAGGAGATGCATACTGGAGACCTGCAGTGAATTGTTATAATGTCTACAACATATTTTTTTTACAGTTCAGGGAAAAGTAGGTACAATAAATATTGCAAATATATTAATAATTATCTAATCTAGGTGGCAGATATATGGATGTTCATTGTACTATTTCAATTATTCTGTATGTTTGGAAATAATACTACATTTTATGACATCTTTGGGTGGCATAGATTTGTCCAAACTATCATATCTTTTGGTATAATTAATGCTTTGACTATAACACACATTCCTGTTTTCCTCTTCTCTTTCTCTGAAAAGGCGTATTTAAACCGAGTGGCCTTCTATGGTTTGAAAGGCAGATACTCCAAAGCAATCTTGAATTGTAACGAGGCCATCAACATTTACCCTCAGAGTGTGCGGGCTTACATCTACAGAGGCGTTCTGAAATACCACAACAGGGTCGGTGATTTCCTGTCTTGTTTACAGAAAATTTAGAGTGAGTGATGCTTGGATGCCAGTAGGGACGCACTTCCTTCTTTAATCTGTGAGAGAAGAATTGCCATAGTGTTAAGGGCAGAGCTGCATAGAACACCTTACACTTCAGGGTACATCAAAAGGCTTACAAAATAGTGGGTTTGTGTTTTTTTTGGAGATTTACATTTTAAGTGGCACATTATTTAGAAAGCAATATATTATTCATTGTAAAGAATTTGGAAAATACAAAGAGGGAATAAAGAAGACTAAAGTCACCTATTATCTCACCATCAACTGAAAATTTCTGAGAGCATTTGTTGTATTTGCATTGTCTTTTTTTTATATTTAACAATATATATTTATATATATTTTCTAAATCAGTACATTCAGTTTTAATTTGTTTTTTCTTCACAAACAGAAAAACTTTTACAATAGTAGACTTTCTAAAATAAATACTATTGAAATAGAGCTTCAAAATAAATATTCTATACAAAGGGGACCTTCTGTGGTAACTTTGTTGTGGGGTGAGAAGGGGCTACAGTGAGGGGGGAGTAAGTCAGAAGTGCGGTGGGATGGGAACCTCGGACAGCTTTCCTGTTTGTAACAGAAAACCAAACTGCGGCAGTTGCATTGTCTTTTTTTTTCTAATAATATATGGTATATATTTTCCAAAGTGGGATTATGCTACTTATTTAATTTGTGTTGTGCCCTTCTTCTCACACTTAACCTTTAAAGATACCATTTTTAATGACTGAATAATATTCTATCATAGTTTATTTTTTACCACTTGATTGTTGGAAATTTGAGTTTTTAATTTTTTCACTATTTTACACAATACAGTTACTAGTATACACACTGAGAACACAGTCATTGCTTGAATATATAGTTGATTCCTAAAGAGAAGTTAGTAGATCAAAAGGTGTGAGTAGCAGCACTGATATCTGATACTTCATGGAATACTTTATTTTTCCTACTTTTCTGTTCTGAACCTTTTTTGTAGCTATTTCATATGAAATATTTTGCAAATAATACCTTAAAGCAGTGGTTCTCAACCTTCTGGCCCTTTAAATACAGTTCCTCATGTTGTGACCCAACCATAAAATTATTTTTGTTGCTACTTCATAACTGTAATGTTGCTACTGTTATGAATTGTAATGTAAATATCTGATATGCAGGATGGTCTTAGGCAACCCCTGTGAAAGGGTCGTTCGGCCTCCAAAGGGGTCACGACCCACAGGTTGAGAACCGCTGCTAAAGCAAAGCTAAGACCTTGTATTTTGTATTAATTCCATGAAAATTACTATCTATAGAAATGGATGACACAAGGTATCAGAGAAGCATCAAAGAGGAAGCAAAAGAGACTGTAGGTAGAAAACATGACGGTTATGGGATCTGACAGTATGAATGACAGAAGCAAGCAAGCTCTGGTGAATGTTTGCTGGAGGAACATGGCTTGCTTTTCTTTTACCAATAAGAAGTGTAATTTTCTCAACATTGGCAATAAGATAATCATCTAAATTAAAATTCTTTATATATTTAATTTTATTTGCAAGTAACAGAAACTATAATAATAATTCCTACCAAGAGATTTTCTTAATTAACTTGGTGAAAGATGAGCTTGATTGTCTTAATATCACAGATGCTGCACAGAGTGTTCCAAAAACTCTGATAGAATCAATAATTTCTTTTACAATTAAATGACAGTCCATTATGACTAACCCTTCTCACCTAATTATTTTTTCCTTTGTAGACTTATAAGCTAGCGATTACAGATTTAACTACCGCTATCAACATGGACAAAAACAGTTATGTAGCATTTTATAACAGAGCAGTGTGTTACACCAAGATAGGTGAACTTCAGATGGTAAGATGACCATTTTAGTCAACAAAATGTTAAAGCATTTGTAAACATATGTAAAGCACGTGTAAAATATTTTTTATTATCTCTCTTGTAATTTTGAAAAATAATTCTTGTGGAAATATGCACACACACCCCCCTCCACCCACACAACTTGAGAACCCAAAGAACCATTTCAAAGGACATTATTATTTTTATTAGTGCTCACAAAATTGTCTTATACAATCTCATACAATCTCAACAATATCACATGAAAAATTGATTTTATAATGCTTACATAAGCATTTAAAGACATATAAAAATTAAAATGCATTACATAATTCTCATTAGGGTAAATGTTTCTACTGATACACCATTTGCAGTACTTTTTTTTTTAATTAAATCTTTATTGTTCATATTATTACAGTTGTTCCTCTTTTTCCCCCCCATAGCTCCCCTCCACCGGGTTCCCACCCTACCATCCGCCCTTACCCACCCACCCACTGTCCTCATCCATAGGTGCACAATTTTTATCCAGTCTCTTCCCGCATCCCCCACACCCCTTTTCCCCCAAGAATAGTCAGTCCACTCCCTTTCTATGCCCCTGATTTTATTATAATCACCAGTTTATTCTGTTCATCAGATTATTTGTTCACTTGATTTTTATATTCACTTGTTGATAGATGTGTATTTGTTGTTCATAATTTGTATCTTTACCTTTTTCTTCTTCCTCTTCTTAAAGGATACCTTTCAGCATTTCATATAATACTGGTTTGGTGGTGATGAACTTCTTTAGCTTTTCCTTATCTGTGAAGCTCTTTATCTGACCTTCAATTCTGAATGATAGCTTTGCTGGATAAAGTAATCTTTTTTTTTTAATTAAATATTTATTGTTCAAATTATTACATTGGTTCCTCTTTTTTCCCACCATAACTCCCCTCCACCCAGTTCCCACCCCACCCTCCACCCTCACTCCCCACCCACTGTCCTCATCCATAGGTGAACGATTATTGTCCAATCTCTTCCCGCACCCCCCACACCCTTTTCCCCCTCCAAGAATAGTCAGTCCATTCCCTTTCTATGTCCCTGATTCTATTACAATCACCAGTTCATACTGTTCATCAGATTATTTATTCACTTGATTTTTAGATAAACTTGTTGATAGATGTGTATTTGTTGTTCATAATTTGTATCTTTACCTTTTTCTTCTTCTTCCTCTTCTTAAAGGATACCTTTCAGCATTTCATATAATACTGGTTTGGTGGTGATAAACTCCTTTAGCTTTTTCTTATCTGTGAAGCTCTTTATCTGGCATTCAATTCTGAATGATAGCTTTGCTGGATAAAGTAGTCTTGGTTGTAGGTTCTTGGTATTCATCACTTTGAATATTTCTTGCCACTCTCTTCTGGCCTGCATGGTTTCTGTTGAGAAATCAGCTGACATTCATATGGGTACTCCCTTGTAGGTAACTGATTTTCTTTCTCTTGCTGCTTTTAAGATTCTCTCTTTGTCTTTTGCTCTTGGCATTTTTATGATGTGTCTTGGTGTGGTCCTCTTTGAATTCCTTTTGTTTGGGGTTCTCTGTGCTTCCTGGAATTGTAAGTCTATTTCTTTCACCAGGTAGGGGAAGTTTTCTGTCATTATTTCCTCAAATAGGTTATCAATATCTTGCTCTCTCTCTCTTCTTCTGGCACCCCTATAATTCGGATGTTGGTATGCTTGAAGCTGTCCCAGAGGCTCCTTACACTATCTTCATATTTTTGGATTCTTTTTTCATTTTGCTTTTCTGGTTGGGTGTTTTTTTCTTCTTCGTATTTCAAATCTTTGACTTGATTCTTGTGATCCTCTAGTCTGCTGTTGGAACTCTGCATAATATCCTTTATTTCAGTCAGTGTATGCTTAATTTCTAGTTGGTTCTTTTTCATAACCTCGAGGGTCTCACTAGATTTCTTGAGGGTCTCACCACATTTATCAGCGGTCTCACCAGATTTTTTTGAGGGTCTTACTAAATTTATCAGCGGTTTCTAGAAAGTTCTTGAGAAACCTTAAAAGTGTGGTTTTGAACTCTATATCCAGTCGTTTGCTTTTCTCCATTTCTGTCATTTGTGACCTGTTTCTTTGTCTCCGCATTTTTTATGCTTCCCTGTGTTGGTAGAGTGGCTTTGTGTGCTAGGTGTCCTATAGGGCCCAGTGGCTCAGCCTCCCCAATTACCTGAGGTGGACACTCTTGGTGCACCCCTTTGTGGGCTTTCTGCACAGTCTTGTTGTAGTTAAGCCTTGATTGCTGTAGGTATCACTGGGAGGAATTGACCTCCAGGCCAGTTGGCTGTGAGAATCAGCTGTGTCTACGGTGGGAGAACTTCTGTGCTGAAGACACCCTTATGAGGCAAGACTTGCTTCAGTGGGGCTTTGGTGCTCACTGAGTCTGCCCCCTGAGTGTGTCCCTTATGGATCTGAGGAGTTGTAATTGGATGGTCCCACTCTGACCACTGGGACCACTGGCTCTTGGATCTAAAGATGTGCTAATTTAGCCTCTGCCTGAGGCTACCCAGCAGGAGCTACGAACAGATATGCAGATTCCCCTTCCTTGTTTGGGGTTTGGAGTTGCCCAAATGAGGCCCAGCTGTGAAGCAATGCAAGCTGCTGTGGGGCCTTGGGCCTTCTCTTGGAAGTTCTGGGTCTGTCTGGCCCAGCTGCAGTTTGTTAGGTAATTTTCAGATTGCAAAGGGCCAGGGCATTCATATGCAAAAGCCTCTGCCGAAGCTTGGGTGGGGCAGGGTCTCAGGGAATCAACAGGGCGGAGCAAGCAGCTATGGCTGATCCTCAGCCCTGCCCCAAGGGGCCCTGAGTCTCAGCATCCCATGGTAATTGCTGCAAGCACCTCTGAGAGAAAGCTGCCCTTGAGTTCCAAGTTCTGCCCGCTGCCAGACAGTCCAGTTTCTCCCCGTATGAGTCTAGGTCCCCAGAGACTCATCTGGAACTGGAGTTCAGAGCAGTCGGGTGCTTGTGACTCCCTCTCGATTCAAAAAGACAGCCGCGTCCTCAGTTGCCAGCCCTTGCTGCGTGCGCCTCCGTACCTCTGTACTTTACTTCCGCACCTCCTGTGAGTCTCAGTGTGCTTTTCTCTTTCCTTCTAGTTGTAGAATTTCCACTCAGCCAGCCTTCCTGTGGTTCTGGATGATGTCCGTTTTGTCTTTTAGTTGTATTTTTGAATTTGTTGTGGGAGGCAGCAATTTCTGGTGTTTACCTATGCCGCCATCTTGGTTTCTCCCATTTGCAGTACTTTTAAGCAGTGATTGTTAGCAATATTGTTGCTTGAGAATTTGCTGGTATTTTTTGCACAGTGTTCAGACTGTTGCAGAGAACCAAAGAAATACCAAGCAAGCTTCCTAGAGAACAGGAGGGACCCCATTTATTAACACTAGTGTACTCCGGGAATAATTTCCAAATCAGAGTGAAGAAACATGCAGAGAGCCTGTCTATATATATTCCGCTGGGGTCTTTGTCTTGCAGATATGCCGCCTGCCCCCTTCGTGGCCCTGTAGGGAGGCCCCAAGGTGTCAGGCCACATCCAATGGTCCATCCTGGCACCAGCATAACAACCCCCCGCCCCCAGGGCAGTGCATTGTTCACAGTTCCATGGCCTCTGCATTTAGATAACAAGTTCTGCAAGACCAGTTTCCTCCTCAAGACCACAGATGCAGCAGTTTTGAGTGATTTCCAGTGATGGGACCAGTGACCAGTGACAAGTACTGCTTGTGCTCTTTGCAGGCCTAGCTGATGGCTGCAGCAATCCTTTTTCTCTATTTGTCCCGTATAGCTACCTGTGCAAGCCATTTTTTAGAGTTTCTATCTTTCTCCTCTTTCTCCTTTCTTTGTCTGCTTGGTCTTTTTCCAGTCAAGATTCCTCACTGGGGAGCAGCTGGTCTGTGGTCTTCCTAGTGCGATGTCCCCTCCCCTTGTTTCTCTTTCTCTGTTGTCCTCTTGTCTCCCCTCCTTATTTCTATCCAGGCCCACAGTCAATGAGGCATTCCTTTAGCAGACCACGTCACACGCCTGCTGTTGGACATGCTCCCCAGTCTCCTGGAATCGTGGGCAGTGAAATCTGTTTAAAACATTTAGAGATTTTGAAATTTATTTTCTATGGAAGGGACATTGAGAAACATTGTTACTCAAAGGATGTAGAATTCCTAGTAACCAGAGGATCAGGTTTCCTCCAGAACCATTGGCAAATGAATAATTTTTTAACAAAGGAGTTGTTAAGATCCTAAGACTAATTAAGGGCTCCTTTATCAGAGTAACCTGCAGAGCAGGTGTCTTTGATGACTCCCTCCCCACCCCCACTTCCTTTTCTGGGTAACTCTGAAGCCACAAACAATGGGCTGGGTGGGGGCAGGGAACTCCCATTTTTGTTATCTCCGATAAGTAACAGAGCCCCACACTCTGAACAAGGAAAATGAAAAACTACCGAAATAGGGACCTAACTACTAGAATTAATCATATTGGCTATTTTGGAGCTGCCATGTACCCAACCCATTTCATCCAAACACTCATTGTACAGATGAGGAAATGGAAGTCAGTAGCGGTTAGAAACACATCCAAGTCACACAGGGAGTAGAGCCCTGTCTGCTGTTCACAGGTGTGTTTGCTTCTGGTTAACAGTCTGTAGGCGGCTTTGTAAAAACATTTGACCTCCAGCGCGTGGAACGGATGTCATGTAACAGTGTGGCCACCTCCCTTTTTGTCTACCTCCTCCCTTCATGTCTACCTCCACCCATTTCTCAGCATCACTGCCAACGCTACACTGAGAAAACCCAAGTACTTTCTGCAGAAAATGCACTTAGACATTCTCCCAAGATACGGTTTCATAAAAATTAAGAACAGGTGAATTCTGGTTCCTATCACCTTAGTAAAAGTAGTAACAGTTACCACTTACTTAGAGCTAATTGTGTAGGAGGCGCTGGGCTAAACGTTTTATCAATATATCATCAAAATTACTTTGTGCAACAATATGATGAATTAGTAATATCCCAATTTTGCAGATGAGGAAACTGAAGCTAGTGTTAAGTAACTTACCCGAGACTAAAAAGCTAGCAATAATAGCAGAGGTGTGTTACAAATCCTGCTCCTTAACCTTCATGAAACTAATTTTACAGCTTTTGTTTCCTCTTGTGTCACATATTCAGCTGTCTAGTGGATCTTGTGGTATCTTAAAGGTTTTACGTTCTGTGATTTTATGAAAGCAAAAGTGCTAACATTTTAGTTTTGTTTTGATAAGTATTATGAATTATTTTTACAGCCCTGGCAATGTTTGTTATTAATTATGCCACAATGTACATAACTGTACAATTCTTTTAGACACTTGAGTGCCTAATCATGAAATACTAGAGCACCACTGAGCAAACAGCAAAATACTATGTATTTGCATTTTTTGTTAGCATGTGCTATAGGCATGTAAGATCTGGCCCTTTTCTGATGAAATTATATGGCTCTTTTGGACAAAATGTTCAGTAGAAAAATGAGGTAAGAGATTCAGCTCCAACTCAAATTTGGGATGGTCCTGTTACCTGGTACAGAACAATGACCAGTAAAAAATTGTTTATTCAATGAATGAAATAAAAAGCTAAAAGTAATAAAGATTCTCTGAGTTAATTCTAAACTTAATGTCTTTAAAAAACCCTAATATATCTATCATAATATTTTGAAGTAATTTTCCAGCAGGCTTCTTTGTTATATTAAGACCCATTTTCATTGATTCATAATTTATTCTCTCAACAAACATTTATTGATTGCCTACTCTGTGCAGGCACAGTGCTAGTTACTGACTTGTAATGGTGAAAAATAAGAATAAGCTTTGCCTCCATAAAGCTTAGGTTGCCGTGAGAAAAACAATCAAATACTAAAAAGAACTTACATTCCCAAAGATAACAAGTGCTCTGCTTTAATGTGGGCGGTCCTGTGGGGAACTGCAGCATGGGGGAGGCGTGTGGTATGCCTCTTCCATCTACACACAATGGAAATGCTTAGGATGCTTCACAAGAACACGTGAAGTGCAGCCACAGTCGGCCCCACATATTAAAATGCAGCAGCAGTCAAGTATTTAGTTAAGGGGGCCCTTTACATTCAACAAATGATTATTTAGGGCCATGAATTGTAAGTCAAATTAAATACTAACTATGGGTTCCTACTTTGGGCATTAACACATTTTTCCTTGGCCAATGTAGCAAGGCTCTAAAGAGCTGAATCTAGGTTGTAAGTGATTCTTTTATTTTTAGGCATTAATGGATTATGGAATCGTGCTTCTTCTTGATGCTGGAAAAACTGTGGCATTCAATACGTTAGTTAATCGTGGACTCATCTATTTAGGACAAGGGCATCACTGTTTCGCATTAGAGGTAAACCTGAACCCACTTGATTTTTCATGCTCACTTCTGAAAATAGTGAACAAGTTTTTCTTACTACCAAATGGCAATATTAATGAGCAATAACTAAACTTTAGCAATAATTATATTGAAATACTTTGACTGACTAATAGAATTTTTGTAAAATACGTGTATTTTTTACTTTGTTTTGATTACAGGCAAATAGCCAATATGTTTTTTTTTTAAAAGTTTCTAATTTGATGAAAGTTCAAGGCTATCACTTCCTATCTATATACAAAATTCAATTATTTAGCAAATAAAATGATTTATGTATTACTTACTTTGCTGTTTGGTGCTCTCATTTATAATTTTCCTCATTCTCCATTGAAAATATATCAAACTAAATCCATTTGTTTTGTATAGAGTAGAAAATACCTGCTCAAAATAAGCTGCTGAGAATAATGGGAACAGGTGCTCAGGATTGTAGCAGAAGATAGCGTCTCTGTTATGTCACAAAGAAACGTGGTTTCTTTGGTTAAAAAATGCATTTCTTTGTAGAACAATTAAACAAAACTTACCATTCTCATTTTTATCTTTTATCTTTTATCTTTTATCTTCTTATTTGTATTGTTTTTTTAAATTAACTTTGGAGTTAAGATTAAGAGATACAAGACAAACAAAAGTTTGCAGTTGAATATGGTAGTTTTGCTTCTTCTTTGTTTCTGAGGAACCACAACAGAACATTATGTAATGGAATGTTTCCTGATTCTTTTCATCTCCAAAAGTGACTTGTATTATTTTTCTACCTTTGGAGTCAGATTTTGAGGTTCTGCCCCACAGAACTACTTATTATTTTTGCGGATGGATCGTGAGAATTCTCGCTTCATATTACACAGTATCATACTTTAAAAAGATATTGGCTTGTAAAAACATGTAATAAATAACTTCAAAATGCAATGGGTATTTAATTTTAAAACGTGCCTTTAACATTTATGTAAAACTTTTTGTACTCGTTCAATAGAAACTTACCTGGCCACTGGGTAAAACTAGCAATAAAGCTACTGGTCCGCAATGTGTTGAGGAAGTGTCTGAGAAACCAGATTCTAGGCAATTTACACTACCATGAAATGTAATTCCAAGAGTTGAACTCTTTTAGGTTTAGGTAATACCATTTGGAATTTCCTCAGAGAGGGAGCAAAGGAATTTCTTTGTTTGGAGTAGGCAAGAAAGCTATGGAACTGTAGGGAACAGTGTTGGGAGTAGAGAAGTGAGGAAAATGGGGTTGGTAGCCAAAGACCTCAGCTGTTGGATAATTAAGTGCAGGGCCTGTGTTATCTATAAGGCACACATTTATTTGGTATTTAACATTAACATACCAGGTTCTCAACAGTGCTGCACAATTTATAATTGTAACTTATAGATGAGGAAACTGATATTCAAAAGAGGTTAAATAGTCTTTTATCCAGGAAGTGCTAGGGCATGGTTTGATCTCAGGTCTCCCCTGATTCCAAATCCTATGTATTGAAGATGTGGAGATAAATAAGGCAGATTTCCTGTCCTTGAGGAGCTCATGGTCTATCCAAAATCATTCTTGACCCCTCTCTTTCCTCATACTCTATATCCAACAGTTCAGTAGACTCTGCCATCAAAGCATATTTTGAATTCAGTTATTTCTCATTTTTTGTCACTGTTATCTTCCTAATTCCACCCTCAAGCATCTCTCCACTGGACTACATCAGAAGCTTCTCAACTGGCCTCTCTGCCTCTGCTCTTGTCTCTGTCTCTACAGGCTGTTCTTCAAACAGCAGCAGACAGAACTCTTAAGAACATACTGGTAAAGCAGACCATGTTATTCCTTCTGCTCAGAACCCTCCAGTGGCTTCCCATCACACTTAGAACAAAATTCGCACTGTTGACTGTGGCCAACGAAGACCCGTCATTGTCTATCACTCATTGATCTGACTTCATTGTCAAACATTGTTCTTTTCTGCCCTCAGGCTCCTCCACTTTGGCATTTTGCTCTTCCTTGGAAATGCCAGGCTCCCTTCCTGCCCAGGGTCCTCACACAAGCTCTTCTCTGTACTAATCTGTGTGTGACTCATGCCCGTCTTTTATTTCAGGTTTCTGCTCAAATGTGACCTCCTCAGTCAAACAAACAAAACAAAAATGTAGATTAATTAAAATAGAATATTAGAAAATTAAAGTAAACCTGGACAGGGAAAACAAACAGGAAACAGAGGAAAACAGAAGAAAACAAATAATAAGATGGTAGACCTAAATCCAACCATATTAAGAGTGACATTTAGTAGGATGGTAAAAAATAGACCAATTTAGGTAATAAAAATATCAGATCAGAACTTTTTAAAAAAAAGTCTCTGGCTACAAAAGTCACACTTTAAATATATTGATATAGATAGGAAAAGTAAAAGGCTGGAAAAAATATGCCCTGCAAACACAAATTAAAAGCAAAAAGAAAAGTCTCCTTTATGTAAATAAAAAATTACTTGAAAAATTAAATTAGAAAAATGAGAAAGAACCAATGAATAAATATAAGACTGAATAATGGAAGGGCTAGATGAAGAAACAGGAGACAGCAGTCTTAACACTTACCCAGGGAAATTTTTTTAGTGAGAATGATTGCTTAACAGAGAGGTCAAGTGGGATGAGTGCTGACAACATACTAGGTAACTGATCCTTGTATGGCCTTCCTAGGAACCCTTGGTCAGGAAGTAGAGTGCAGCATTTGGACTGGCATTGTTTAGGAAGTTAATGGTTAAGTGGGTTGGATTGAGAACATGTGTTTATCTCTTTGTCCTCTTGAAAACCTACTAGGAAGACAGTAAAGGAATAAAAAAGATATAATTCCACAAGGTTGAAGATAGTAGAAAAGAGATGTTTAGGCACCTAAAACTACCATTCTGTATTCTAATGCCTCTAACTTAAATATGAATGGGTAGCCAAGGATCCTACACTTAAGAGGTAAAATAGAGACTATTTTCTTAGGGATGGTGGGAGAAAAGGAGACGTGCGGAGTGCTGGGGTAAGATAGCTAAATTCTATCCTATATGGGAAGTTAAACATGACAATTCTCATGTTATTTTGAAATTTGAAGGTAAATAGCAGCAAGATGTATACACAATTGTGTTTGGGAGTGGGCTTCAGGGTCAAGGAGAGGTGGAGCAGGGGATTGCTGCAAGCACCGTCAGTTTTCTAGTTGGATTAGACACCATACACTTGGTACATGGGCTACTTTGATAAGAATAAAAGCAAATAAATAAAAACTGTCTTTCGATGCAATTTACAAATGACAAAATAAAATTGGCCTTCATTAAATGACACAAATACTAGGAAGTTGATGGAATTGGGGGGTGTGGAGACCATGAGTGTTAGCTATGCTTTCAAGGAGATTGGTGGTGACAGAAACTAGAAAGACTGGGCCATGTGTAGTTTGTAGCAGGGACGGTTGAGTGGAAGGCATGTTAGGTCAGGGCATGAAACAAGAATTAAAAATACAGAAGGCAGGAATATGATAGAACAAGTTTCCAGAGGAGAACAAAAGGAACAAGGTCAAGAGTCTGTCTTCTGACACAAAGATAGTGTGGGTGAAGGTCCTTACAAATAAGGAATTTGCTTTGTGTATGAGTGGCTATGTGTGGTTTGTTATTTATGATCTTCATATTAGAAAAAAAATTAATGCAGAAGGGAAAAATCATAAAAATTAGTTAGCTTTATTCTAAGTAATGAGAATAGTCATCACATGTTTATTGCTGATAATTATAGAGTCAGGTTGACTTTTGTAAGTTTTATCTGATTACAAAACCGAACTTGGTATTCTCAGTCTTTTAAGTTCTCGATCACTCCTCACAACTTCCAAAATAAATAAATAGGAAAGTTTATAATAAATCTCAATTTCGCTAAGTTTGCTTCCACTTTAAAACAGTCCTCTAAGTCCGGCCAGGTTGGCTCAGTTGGTTGAGCTTCTTCCTGTGCACCGAAAGGTTGCTGGTTCCATTTCTGGTCAGGGCACATGCCTGGGTTGTGGGTTCGATCCCTGGTTGGGGCATGTTCTGAAAGGAACTTCTTTCTCTCTCTCTCTCTCTCTCTCTCTCTCTCCCTCTCTCTAAGCATGCCCTCAGGTGAGGATAAAATCAGTAAATAAAACAGTATTCGGGGGATTTATCTGGTAGCATATTTGATTATATTACATTTGATTAGACAATAGATTTCTTATTTTCTTCCAATAATAGTTCCTTTTAGTATCAAAATATACTTCAGGAATCTAAGTGTGATTCCATATCTACAGATTGGTCTCTGACTGAAACCTTCCTCCTCCAATAGGATTCCAGTGACCCCGCTTGACCCTACTACTCCCTCTGCCTTCCCAATATTTGCAGAAAAGTTAGCCAGCTTCCTCCCTCTGCTACAGCCAGGGAAGGTTTGTGGAAGGGGGAGGAGGAGGAGGGAAAATGAGGAGGGAGAGGGACAGGGAGGCTGTCTGTTATGGTTAGCTCCTCTCCTTCCTCCAGGGTGGACACCAGAACTCAGACACCGGCCCTCTGAGGCTGGAGAGAGGGTGCCAGCCTCCAGGAGGGGCTGGAGGGGGTCCCTCGGACCGTCCAGCGGAGGTGACAGCACTCTCCTGTTCTAGCCTGGCCACCTGAGGTTACAACCAAAACTGCCAGTGAAGGTGCCTGCGGAAGCAGTCCTTTGGGAAAAGCAGCATCATTGCAGTTTCCATGATATTTTATATGTAGATATTCATCTAAATATTGTATTAGTTTCAATTTAGTGCTGTTCTTATTTTGCCTCAGTCCTCGAATATTTTTGTAGGTCTTTGAAAAGCTGATGCACTTTGGACACTGTCTCTGGAGCCTAATGGAGGACAGTGTTCAGGGCCGCAGAGGCAGGCTCTCTCGCAGACTTCTAATTCTCTTAAAACAACCTTTCCCAGGGCCATTCCAGCTAACTTCCGAACTCAAAATCTTGGGGTTTTCCATTGCTCCTTCTCAGGAGGCTTCTAGAATTCTCCCAGAAGTGTGAATTCCAAAGGTAGGAGCAGCCTTAGCTAATCCACAAAAGAGGCCCAAGGCATGTCCTTTTCTGGGTCTGGGTGTGTGTTTGCCCTGTAAAGTCCAAGTTTCTCTATAGGAGAATTTCCATTTCTATCTAGATGGGCAAGTCTCTGGTGGTGTAAACTGAGGGGAAAAAATACAATAAAAAGAAAGTAAATGAGGTCTCATTACACACATCAGGGCAAATCACTGGGAAAGTGCAGACCAGCAGCACAATATTCTGAGTGAGTGTTCAGTTATGGGTTTCCTCTGCTCCATTCGTCCTCACTAGATGTGATACTAAAAGGAAAAAAAAATTTGAAGATGTCTTTGTTAATGCTGTGTTAAGTATATTCATGGTAGACCACAGCTAGAATAAAGTTTAAGAAAGCGCAAAGGATAATGTTGCAAAACTAACAAAAATGTATAAAACTGTTTCAGGATTTTAAACAAGCTGCGTTGCTGAGCAAGACTAATGTGAACCTTTGTCAAGCTACCGCCTTGTGCTATCACAGGTATGCAATTTAGGTTGCAGTGAAAGCAAGTGGGATCATCTAATGATTATAATAGAAAATAGAAAGAGGAAAATGTGGAAGTGACAGGGACAAAAATGGGGAGAGACACAGAATCCCTGCATAGAGGTGGCGAGCACACCTAGGTGTGTCATCAGCACCCTCCTAGCTTCTAATAAGGTGTTTTAACCAAGTCTGCAAGCAGATACCTGCATCCTGGCATTGGATACCCACTGATTCAAGCCCATTTGCTGGGGAAAAAGACCTGGGTGATACACAGAATAAAATCACGCACAGCTTGAAACGTCTAAGAATAAAATTAAGTGATTATTTTTGTTCCTAAAATGAAACTAAACTTTAAAAAGCCTGTTTCCTACAAGAGAGGATGATCTCAAAAAATTAAATATTTTCAAAAAATTTTGCATTTAGAAAACATATTTCTAAATCTATAACTAATTAAAATAATACCCGTGAACATCTACAAAATACAATAAAATCTACAAAAATATATTACTTAAAACATTATTACCTGCTTCTGAGATTACTGTAAGAGTAAGTCAAGTTATAGTAGGGGAGAAGAGAACAGTTACATACACTAAAATACAGAAGATCACTTTATAATTTGTTCTGAGATAGCATTACATAGATTTTTACTAATTATAAGTTTTACATTTCTACATATACATTTAACATCTAAAATTAGTTTCTGGTCATTTTGTGTTTAAAAGTATAGAGATTCTGCATGTGGAGATTTTAATGTGAGATAAAATATATTTGGTTAAGTAGTAGTATTATTTTTTAAGACAGAAATAATAGCAATTACTTGGAGGGGAAATTAGGATAGTTCATAAACTATACAGACTAGGCTGTACAAAAATCCAATTTTGAATTATTTAGGAAATAAATATTTCCTTTTTTCCTTTTTAGAACATAGCATAGCTACATTTCCCTATGAAAGTTAGATTTTTTATTTTATGAACATAATAATGTAATGACTGAAACTTGTGAAGATGTCTTTGGGTTTAAAGGCCTAAATTGGGACCTTTATTTTATATAAACAGCAAAACATAGTCACACCATTTTCTATTGTAATCTAGCAACCTTTTTACAATCCATCTCTTTAAGTAATTGTCATTCTTGAAAAGAGATGGAATAATGATGACTGATGTGTTTGTTTTGGTGGGTGAGTACAGACCAAAAATGTCTGAGGTCATTGCATTCTCTTAAATTAAAAACAGACTCCAAAATTTCTCCCAAACTCATTCCTGTGTTTAGCAACTGAGTCAGTAAATTTCTCTGTGTCTGTTCCCAATCTCTTTCATGAATTGTAATCACTGGATATACTACACGTCGGAGCCTTCTTAAGCTGATACTGCTTTGCAATTCCAAATAACCAACTTATATCAGTTGATTAGAATCTCTATTGTCCCTTAATAAAAGTAGAATTTAAATCACTGGTAAAGCCCTAATAACTGACAGTCCCAATTTCATGTGTTTTGAGTTTTAACAGTTTTACTGAATTTAACAATAAGAAATATTTAGTGACTCATTATATCTATTTCAGGAAAAATATTTTGCTTTTCAAGGTAGTCTATCTATAACATACTTATATCACAGCAGCACAGTTTCTCAGTATTGGAAATTCATTACTGGTATCTTATAGTGGGGAAAGTAAAAATTTTCCCAATTGGAAAACAATTTTAAAAAGGAATAAAATTTGAAATTTAGGGCTTTGATCTTTGAACTCAGGGAGTTGCAGACTTTTGAAGTATGCCTTTGTATAAGTCTGGTTCTCACTCCTGTGGTTGCTAGGAGACAACATTCCTTAGGCTGAATATCTACTTGTTGCTCAATTTGGTCACGAAGAGTGTTGTGCCACAGTTAATTTTTAGATCCCTTTATGAAAGCCATCGTCATATGAAAAAAAAAGTCACAGAGGGAGAGCATGATTACTCAGAGTTACATATCCTAGCCACTTTTTTTTTTTTACCTCAGAACATTGATTTTACTATTCTTATGTTTGCATAAAATATTTTTGAAACTTTGACTCTGCAAGCCACATTCTTTAGTGTGGGGAGGTATTTATGATTTATTTGTATAACTCAGTAGGGCACATCTGGGCACGTATGTGATTAATTTAGAAAATGTGGTGGCCTCCGTCTGTGGCCCAGACTGCAAGCTCAGCTCACAGTCCCGACTGAAGGATGGGCGCTGATGAGAGGACGCACCTCTGTCAGTGATCACATTATTTATACAAACACATCTTATTTTAGAAAAACCAATTTAATATATTTTTGTATTTGTGGTAACTGATACCTAAGACTTTTATGTATTGATGAACATGTATCCTGACATGATACATTTTTTCATTGCTAACTGCCATGTGATCATTTAACAAGAGCTTCAATCTACAGGACACTGTGATATACTCATCTTCAGAAACATGAAATTGCTGTTTCTATTGTGGCACCTGCATCATTTTTTCCGTGTTGATGTGGGGAGCTGGGTGTCTCTGGCTTTGACACTGTCACTTCCCCTGGACTTGATTTTTAGTGGTCACCTGCTTTGAAGTGTTGATAGGTGATTTTCAAGGTCCTTTTCCATGTTAAAGTTTAATAATTATTTACTCTCTGATCCCACGGACTGCCGGCAAGATGGCGCTGAAAGTCAAGAAGCCTAAGAGGACAACCTGGAAGTTTGGATTGGACCTTACCCATCCAGTAGAAGATGGCATTTTTGATTCTGAAAATTTCGGTACCTTCCCTAGTGAATATCTAGGGTTTTCTTCCCTAGTTTTGCATTTTTTTTTCTGTTTTAAAATAGGAACAGTTTCTACGGGAGAAGGTTAAAGTCAATGGGAAAACTGGAAATCTTGGGAATGTTGTACACATTGAACGCTTCAAGAATAAAATCACAGTTGTTTCTGAGAAACATTTCTCTAAAAGATATTTGAAATACCTTACCAAGAAATACCTCAAGAAGAATAGTCTTTGTGATTGGCTTCGTGTGGTTGCATCTGACAGGAGACGTATGAACTTCGTTACTTCCAGATTAGTCAAGATGAAGATAGGTCTGAATCTGAGGACTAGGTGAAGGCACCTTATATAGGCCTTTGCTTATTAACAAAACATATGAAGTGTACCAAGAGAAACATCTAGAAATGGATTTTTATCGGTGAATAAAAAAATGTAACACTGTTAAAAAAATAAAAAAAAATTATTATTTACTTAGTAGAAACAGACTAGATGCTCATTACATGCTAGTGCTGATAACTAGATAGGTATAGAAAAATGGCTTTCTCCAGGCTAATTGAGATTAAATGTAATTATTAGATATGCATATGAGATGGAAAAGTGACTCCTTTATGAAACATATTTGATTCCCTTATCAGCCCTCACCCGCACCACAAGAGAATAAATAGGAAAGAAAAACTGAGTTATTATTTAGTTAAATATTTTTACAAATTAATAAATAAAATGCATTTTTCTTCTTTCCCTCTTTTCTCTTGGTGTCCAAAAAGAAAGGGCCTATCTTTATAGATCTGAAGTAAGAACTCCCATGTATAACATTTTGGTTCCTTTTGTTGTATAAGGAAATATTAAATACATATAAATTCTATCTAATAAAAGAAAAACATGGTAATTAGCCGTACCTCCACTACCCTTCCCATTGGCTAATCAGGGCGATATGCAAATTAACTGCCAGCCAAGATGGCGGCCGACAGCCAGGCAGCTTGAAGCGAACATGAGGCTTGCTTGCTCCAGTGAAGGAGGAAGCCAACGTTCCCTGCCTACCACTGCCGGCCTCTGAGCTTGCAGTTTGAAACATTGTTACAAATATAGAAGCTAAACAAAACCCCAGAAACCTGCTTTCAGCCAGCCAGGATCTCAGAGCTGGAGTTAAAACAGTGTTTCGATTATAGAACCCAAACAAACCAGATACCTACTTTCAGCAGCTGAGGCCTCAGAGCTGGAGCCAAGCCTCAGAGCTAAAGCTGGCCCAGAATAAAAAGAAAAAGAAAAAAAGGAGCGGTTGGGAGCTTCAGTCACCCACCAGCCTGAAAACAGCCCTCAGCCCCTCACCCAGACTGGCCAGGCACCCCAGTGGGGACCGCCACCCTGAAGGGGGTGTGACAAGCTGCAAACAGCCATCAGCCCTTCACCCAGGCTAGCCAGGCACCCAAGCGGGACCCCCACCCTGATCCAGGACACCCTTCAGGGCAAAACAGCCGGCCCCCGCCCGTGCACCAGGCCTCTATCCTATATAGTAAAAGGGTAATATGCCTCCCAGCACCGGGATCAGAGGAGCCACAAGCCTCCCGGCACCGGGATCAGCATGACAGGGGGCAGCGACCAAACCCCCTGATCGCCCTGCGGCTCTGGGTGTGACAGGGGGCGAGGCACAACTTCCCTATCCACCCTGCTCTGTTCCTGACAGGGGAAGGGCCCCAACCTCCTGATCAGGCCTGCTCTGTGCTGATAGGGGGGGAGCTCCCCACACCTTGATCGCTTGCGGTTCTGTGGTGTGACAGGGTGCAGCTCCCCCAAACCCCCCTTGATCCACCCCTGGCTCTGTGCATGGAAAGGGGAAGGGGGGCCCCCAACTCGGACGCGCCCCACTCCCCAATCAGCCTGCTCTGAGCCCGACCAGGGGCTGCACTCGGGATTGGGCCTGCCCTCTGCCACCCGGGAGCAGACCTAAGCCAGCAGGTCGTTATCTCCCAAGGGGTCCCAGACTGCGAGAGGGCACAGGCCGGGCTGAGGGACCACCCTCCTCCCCGAGTGCACAAATTTTTGTGCACTGGGCCTCTAGTTTATTATAATCTGCTTTAAATAGTGTATTCCATTTATATACCTTCCCCCCCATCCCCATATTGGCCACAGATAGCTATTAAAAACAGGTTCAGGAATGCCATGGAGCCCTTTATAATTCTGAAAAAAGAACTCTAGACTATTATCCCAGCATATTCTGCTATGAAAATGGCTCTTACCTCCCTTTTTCCCTTTTACCACAATCTTCAAAGACCCCCTTCAGCCTTTCGTAGGTCACATGGACTCATGTTCTTACTTCCTATGATGGATAGATAATAAAAGTGAAAATTTTTTTGTAAGGGTTAATGTAAATCTTTATGAAAACTTTATATACAGTAAGTACTTAGGTAACTCAACAGAAAGCATCAATAATTTTATTTATTTTCAGAAACAAAGAGTTTGCAGAAGCTGTCACTTTCTTCACATTGGCTCTTAGTATTAATCCCTATTTTTTGGATGCTTATATTGGACGGGGAAATTCTTACATGGAATATGGTCACGATGAAGGCATCAAACAAGCACAGAAGGACTTTCTGAAAGCGCTGCATTACAATCCAATATGCACAAAAGCCAGAGTTTCATTAGGTTATAATTTGCAGGTAATATTACATAAGACACGTTGGGCCATGGAAGTGTTACCAGTGGGGAGAGGTCCTCATTTCTGCCGGTTGCTGGTAGGAGTGGGTTTCTTGCAATATCCTGAGAAAAAGGATTTACTCAGACTTGCATGGAGAACAAGTAATTTCTTATTTGCATGGAATTAAATCCCTGAGTTTCCAAGGTCCCCTCTCCCTCAGTCCTGCCATAGAAGTGTAGCTTTGATTTCAGCAGAGTTGAAATCAGAGCCAGTGTCCAGATGTCCAGGGTTTCCATCTATGTCTGCACACTCCAGCCCAGCATCAGGCTAACTTGACTTGTGCTCCCTGCTGCAGTCCACTAGTCCATTGCCTGTGGGGTCCACATGACCATGGGCCATACGGGCAAATGCAAGAGGGTCAAGAGTGAGCCAAGAGCAACAAGAGAGCAAACTCCTTTGTTTAGGATATTATGTGTTCCCAAATTTTCATGTGCTTGCAGTGGCTTTGCCTATCTACACTAATAAAAGAGAAAAATGGTAATTGGCGTACAACCGCTACCCTTCCCATTGGCTAATCAGCGTATCCTTATGCAAATTAACTGTCAGCCAAGATGGCAGCTGGCAGCCAGGCAGCTGGAAGCGAACATGAGGCTTGCTTGCTCCAGTGACTGCAGACTCCAACGTTCCCTGCCTGCCGCTGCCGGCCTCTGAGCTGGCAGTTTGAAACATTCTAACAAATATAGGCTGGGATCTCAGAGCTGAAGTTATACATTGTTTCGATTATAGAAAGGCAAACAAACCAGCAGCGGAAGCCTCAGAGCTAGAGCCAGAGCTAAAGCTGGCCCAGAAGAAAAAAAAAAAAAAGAAAAAAAG